ACCCCAGAAAGCCTTTAGGTTTTGGAGGAAATATTTGTGTGCCATTCTAAAGGCTAAAGTAGGATGATTGGGTGCAGATACTAGTAAGTGGATTTGAAACAATCAGACGTCAAACAATGCAAGGGGTTGCCTCATGAGGTGGTGATGGGGGATATTTATGCAGACCGCCTGTTGGAGATGCTGTTAAAACCCTAAATTGTTGGGGACAGTGGATGAGAGGACCTCTGAGGTCCTGGTGTTCTTTAGTTCTCAGACTAAGGCCATTGAAAGGAGCAAGCTGGGCTACTTGAAGAAAATTAGAAGTGAACAAAAGTATAGGGCTCTTGAAATCCATTTTAGCCATTTGAGAATGGTTGGATTGTTTCTGATGCAGTGGAGATGTTGAGGCAGTTGAGACTGAAGCTGTCCTTCAGGAAGAGATGGTTGGGTTGGGCTGGGAAAAAATGGATTGGAAACCGTTGAGAGTCTGACCGCAGCTAAGGCAAAGGACAGGGAAACAGAATGCTCTGGTTGTTTAAAAGTTCGTTTTCTATCTGAACATACTGAAGTTATGGATCATACCTTGATTTGAATCTGTAATTTCTAGAAGTTTGTGTTTCTAGCCCAGTTCTTGGACCATCAAGCCAGCTCATTGACCAAATACTTCAAGAAGGAGAACCAAGCAGCTCTCCATTTTCGAAAGGCTTCTGTAATGTAAATAGGAACAGCAGTCTTTCCAAGTTATTACCCTGTTAACAGGTTGACAGATATGTGCAAATTGTGACTCACTGCTCAATTTGGCACTAAATTAATGTCTTTCTGCGCCGCGTCTGCTCAAGTGTAAACTAGTCACCACTGCTGTGTTACTGCTTGTTTGCCTATATTCCAAAGGTAAAAATTAAAGTAATTTGATTCTGCCACAGAACAGAGTGTAACATATGGTGGAAGTGTAGGAGGGGAGCACGCTGTTCCTACCTGTCCTTAGCCCTGCTCTCAAAGTGGGGCGCCGCACTGCAGAGCCCGCTGCAGACGCTAGCAGTGCTCACTGTCTCGGGAGGCAACGCTCGGAGAGTACTGCCAGAGACCACCTCCCGTATCAACACTCCCTCTCTCAGCGAAAAAAAGAGTGTCATTTTTGTCTCCAGATTTTTAATTTGAGCCTCTAAGCTTTCCTTATTTCTGTCAAGTCACTAGTGGTTGATTTGTGTTTCGAAGGTTGGGTCTGTTTGAAAATGAAGTGTTTTGATTTTTGCCTCGTGAATTTAGACATTGTTTTCCTCAGCTAAAGATGCAGCTGACTTTCTCTCTTTCCCTTTTTGGCAAATACATAATGTCACCTGTAGAAAAAAAATTTGCATCTCCTTTGTGTTAGACATGTGAATGGAAAACAATCTCCTAAAAATGCAGTTTTGCTTCCTACAGTCTTTGAGTTTGCTGAGCTTTGTCTAAGGTCACGGGTTGGGGAAGAAACAACAAGACAAGAACAACGAAACCCACCTGGATCTCTTCACTTACCCGCGCCAACAGCAGATATTTTCCCTAGGAACTTATTTTTCTTTTGCCATTGCCTTTTCTTAGAGGTAAAAATCTCATCAATAAAGGAATCAAAAATGGCCAGGAACCTTTGTTTGCCCATTTAGAACTCTGGCCCTTACTAAAAGCAAGCAAAGTTAGGTAGTTGGCATGGAATTCTAGAAATCTACACACTGAGCTTGGTTTCTGGCTTTTTGCTTGACCCGGGATCATCACTTAACCCACCTCATTTCTTTATTTTTCTAGCCTCCTAAGGAAACTAGTTTTCCAGAATGTATCTTGATGCCTTCAAGGTGAAAGGTACAAGGGAAAGCAAATTATGATGTTACCTTTGTGCTGAAGATCTGCATATTCATCTGCTTTCTGCTGTCCAGAGCTATGATGGCTATTGATTGAGGATCAGTTCGGAAGACATCGCCTATCCTCCTCCCCATTAGCATATACTTAGCAATGACCTCCGTTCACGCAGGACAGTGGATGTTTGCTTCCTGCTGAGTCGGAAGAAACTGGGTTTAAACCACACATATAGATTTAGAAAAGAAGTATATACATGCAGGAATGTTTCCAATGACCTGGTATAAACTTTGGGCATGACGTTTTTGTCATGTGCCTTCACCATTTCAACAAACGTCAGGCAATGATGAAAAATGAGTTCGTTTCCTCTTCTCTTCACTTCTCACCCCTTTTGTAGCATTTAAGCTTAGATCCAAGGTTGTGTGTCATGATGCTATAAATCTAGAAGGAACCACGGGACATGATGTGTGGTCAGCCTGTGTCTTAGCCATCCAGGAAAGATTGTTTATTAAACCATTAAAAAATCAGCAGAGGCCGGGCACGGTGGCTCACGCCTGTAATCCCAGCACTTTGGGAGGCCGAGGCGGGCAGATCACGAGGTCAGGAGACCGAGACCATCCTGGCTAACACAGTGAAACCCCGTCTCTACTAAAAATACAAAAAATTAGACAGGCGTGGTGGTGGACACCTGTAGTCCCAGCTACTCGGGAGGCTGAGGCAGGAGAATGGCGTAAATCCGGGAGGTGGAGCTTGCAGTGAGCTGAGATTGTGCCACTGCACTGCAGCCTGGGTAACAGAGGGAGACTCCATCACAAAAAAAAAAAAAAAAATTCGGCAGAATGGGGCCTTGCCTTTAAGAATGCTCTCATTCTTTCTGAGCAAGTTCACTTTTTGGTGCCATATCCTCACAGTATGGTGCTTTCGAGAGATGGGAGATGCTGTTTGGTACTGAGTTCATAAAAGCCATTCATGTACTTGAAGAATATCAAAGTCTCCCTCGGCCTTCTTTTCTCCAGAAGCAAATACCCTTCAGTGCACCTCCATGCCTTCTCGCTCATCTCTGCTGCAGTCTGCTTACTGTTGTCGTTGTTTACCGCTGGGCCCTCTCTAATTTTTCCCCTTCCTTCTTCAGCTGAAAGCTTTAAAACTTGACATCACATTCTCTAAGGAAAACCTGATAGGCTTTCCTTAGAGAATAGGTAGGGTCGCTTTCTGACTTTCAGAGCTGGCATGCGATGTTCGCTTTTTAACAAATGGCGTTATGTTTTCTGCTATCTCTCATGAGCCCCAGGTTCAAACTAAAATCTTTTCATGTTGTGAACAGAGAACTAATCTCCCTCTTACCCCAAGAGAATACACCTTTTATAGGTCCCTGACTTAATGGACATGTAATGTAATTTGTCATAGCCAATGGATATGAAATCCAATGTAAAATCCTTAATAGATAGTTTTACATGTCAGCTATTATATTATACATCCTCTTTGTGTCCAGTGTGATTGGATGGTGAACACTAATTCTTGTATGATTTTGTTCTCAAAGGACCTGAGCCAGACCCTACTCGGTGCTATGGGCTGATGTCTTCACAGTGCGCTACCACTGTAGGGAAGAATTTATCCCAGTAAGAGAGGGCATTTTTGCAGAAGTGGCCCATGGTGTAAGTGGTAGAACTACCAATCAGGGCACTTACAATTTTTGAGTCCTTTATATGTGCCAGTTCTCATGCTCAGTCCTTAATGTCACTGACCTCAATTATTATTAAACCTTAAGAGATACAGGTTTCATCTGGGCTATAAGAACAGAGGATTCCCTTTTGGTGGGATATCTCCAAGGAAAACATGAAGCTGATAGCTTGCCTGATATGTTTGGAGTAAGAGTCAGGTAGAGAGTTTAGGAATAAAACTGTAACAGATACATAGAAAACTAATCAAATGAAAAGGCAAAACAGGGCTGGGTGCAGTGGCTCTCGCCTGTAATCCCAGCACTTTGGGAGAATGAGGCTGGCGAATCACTTGAGGTCAGGAGTTTGAGACCAGCCTGGCCAACATGGTGAAACCCCGTCTCTACTAAAAATACAAAAATTAGCCAGAAGTGGTGGTGGGCGCCTGTTATCCCAGCTACTTGGAAGGCTGAGGCACGAGAATCGCTTGAACCTGGGAGGTGGAGGTTGCAATGAGCTGAGATAGCACCACTGCACTCCAGCCTGGGCAATAGAGCAAGACTCAGTCTCAAAAAAGGAAAAAAAGGAAAGGCAAAATAGAAATACAAGGAAACAGAAAGCTGTATAAGTAAATAAATGTAGTCATGAGCTACTATGTAGCTCAGCTATTAAAAATATATGCAGAGATTTTAGAATATAATCACAGACTACTGATTTAAGTAAAAATTGTGATATAACTTGAATCAGAGCACAACCAGGAGATCAGGAATGACTTCAGGTATTTAAAAACAGAAGGAATTGGCCGGGCATGGTGGCTCACGCTTGTAATTCCAGCACTTTGGGAGGCCAAGGCGGGCAGATCACAATGTCAGGAGATCGAGACCAGCCTGACCAATGTGGTGACATCCCATCTCTACTAAAAATACAAAAATTAGCCAGGTGTGGTGGCGTGTGCCTGTAGTCCCAGCTACTTGGGAGACTGAAGCAGGAGAATCGTTTGAACCCGGGAGGCGGAGGTTGCAGTAAGCCGAGATCACGCCACTGCACTCCAGCCTGGGTGACACAGCAATTGTCACCCATGTTTTTGTCAAAAAAAAAAAAAAAAAAAACAGAAGGAATTTAATCCCGGGAATTGGTTATTCCAGTGATTCAGAGGAGAAGCCTGATGAGGCAGTGAGATAGCCCAGAGGTGTGCAACAGCAGGACACTGCTGCCATCCTGGACTGGAAGGACAAAGGGAGGGGGCCGTGTTGTTGGAGCCCAGTGACCCAGCAGGTGACACAGCTAAATTCTGACCTCCTATGGAAGAAAATTAATAGTCGTGCCTTAAAATGAAAAATCAAGAACTAGCATTAAAAACACATTATCTGGACATACAGAGGTAAAGACAAAAAGGTTTCTAATCCTATTTGCCTTCTTAAAAATGTGTTATGTTGATTTAAAATTACATTTAAAAGCAATGTCTTTCGAATACTATTAATCTGTAGTTCTTAACTGGAGTCGTAGTTCACACATGTTTATTTTTTTCCCACTTAGATATGTTGATGATGTGATCAACCGCATTGACAGGATGTTTCCTGAAATGTCCATCCACTTATCCAGACCCAATGGAACATCAGCAATGCTTCTGGTAAGATCAGCTTGACTGATTTGTAGGGATGTTGGGGAAAAAAATGGACTTCTCAGTTAACTCTCTGGTCCTGTGTTGTAGGATCTATAGAATGGGGATTAAATTCCAATTTGATGGTGAATAACATATTTCCTTTACTGGCATTCTGTAGGTTAATAATTCTGCACATTGAAACCTTGCTTTTGAACAAAATTGCAGATCCCATGTAAGAATTAACCAGAGAGGAAAGACACTGTAAGACCATTTTACCTTAAGTCACTTCATGCAACCTCCCAATGTTTTGGTGAATCTGTTTTCTATCTTCCCCAAAGAAGTATAGTAGACAATAGTGATGCTCAACTGTTGGATCCTGCTAAAGAAAACGCTCTCTTAATACAAAACCAGAATATTATGTATTTGAAGAGAGTGTTCTGAGGCTTGTGACTGACGACTTCTGGTTTTGCCGTTTCTGATTATGGTTTGCTCTGAACACATCACCTCATAATCTCCTGGTGGATGTTTGTATTTGCATGAATTCACCAAAGACAGGTGTGTTTTGGAAATACAGTGGGATAGAAATGCCAGATTATATTATTAATTAGGAAGTCATAGAGACCTCAATGATGAGAAGCTTTTCTAGTGGTCTGTATAATAACACTTGTATGTGCTTGAAGAATACTTCCCTGAACACAGATTTTTGAGGAACCACCACATTTTATAAAAAAGCAGAGTTTATTGAATAAGAATGATGGTTTCAATGAGCGTCAGGGAGGTAAGGTTCAGGACTGGGTATTTTTTCCATCTATTCTGCTGTTGCTGCTTTGGAGCCTAGTGTGAACTCCCCGTATTTTAGCATTTTACTTGTGTGAAATCTTATAAATAGCCAGTCACCCAGGATGAGTTACTATTTACTCCAGCCCATTCATCTTAGGGGAACATTGTGTGTGCATGTGTGTTTTGGTCTTTAGGCAGGAAAAGATCTGGGCTTGTTAAATGTTTGTTACTTCATTTGTGGGGAAAAAAAATTAGTGACATCCCCCTGGATAACATGCTACTTAAAAAATTTCTTTCAGTTAAAACATAAAGAAAAGGAGATAATGCTGTGTGGTTTTTTTTCATAGAAAAGGGAAACAGTTTTCTTCACATAAAATGTATCTGTCTACAGAACACAAAATATCTTCTGCTTCCAGAGGTTGCAGTGAGCTGAGATCGTGCCATTTTACTCCAGCCTAGGCAAAAGAGCGAGACTCTGTCTCCAAAAAAAAAAGTCTCTCTCAGTTAAATGTACAAATTGCCCAGATTTTAAGATACCCCAGACCCAGCAGTTGAAACATAAATCCTGCTCTCAGCATACCTGACAGGGTCCCAAAGAGTTAATGAAGATAGAAATGAATGCGTCCTCAGTGAAATAGGTTTGTTCAAATTATTTCTGGGTCATTGAGCTCCCATTTCATGACGAGGGTGGGATTTGGCATTGAAGGGAATGAGCAGAGGGAACAAGATTCCAGGCAAACAGGCTACACAGATGAGTTGCTTCCACCTGAGAAAGCAGGCATGTATTTCACAGTGACAGTCGACCTCGCCTGCTTTCCCATGGAGCTTCTGTCCTAACAGACTGATGAGAGAGTTTAGGGACTCAATTCAAGGCAAGAATCACGTTTCACATCCCCAGTTTATTTACTACCACCAACACCCATCCACCCCCGCTAATTCAGACATGTGCATCTAGGTGCCTACTTGTTATCTTTCTTCAGCGACACAGGAACTCACAGAAGCTGGTGCTTACTTACAGCAACAGTGGTAGGTGATCTGATTCAGAATCAGATTGCCACGGGGTTAATCGTACTTTTAACATAATGCCTGCGTTTGGCGTTTACTATTAGAAGTTGGAATTTTATGAGATGGCAAATCTCTAGGCTATTCACTCCTCCCACATCCATCATGAGGTGGGTGACAGGAATTCCTACCTGGAGGGAGAGCAGGACCAACAGATGCCACCTCCCCCACTACCTGCTGCTAGTCACCTGTTCCCTGGACTTCACTGGTAAAGTTTTGGGGCCTAGACTGTAGGCAGGAGGTGTAGGCAAGAGTTGAAAGTGTTTTCTGGAGATGAACCTGGAATAAATTGAATTAACCGGGAATGCAGTGTATTCCGGAAGGCGTTGGGGGCAAGTGAGACTGATGGGGAAAGACCAGTTAGGAGACCTTTGAAGCAGGGTGCACTTGAGCAGTCTCAGCCGACGCCTTCCTTTACCTCCCTTGGCAAATGTCTGAACTGCACCTGTGCTTTTGGAATAAAACGGCATTTCCTCCGGAATTGGCTGGGCTTCCTTGAATGCGGTCAACAGCAACTGATTGACTCACATAAGGAAAGAGTTGGTTTGGGTTTTGCTGTTTGATGGTGCCAGGTGCATGAGACTCAGTGATGAAGCTGACCTGCCAGGCAGGACAAAAACCAGAGTAGCTCCAGGCATGTCAGGAACAAGATCAGGACAATGTTTTTTAGGGGGCCCCATGGCCCAAATGATTCCATATGAACTGCCTTTCATCCCTGTGCATACAATCTGGGAAGAACACTCCTGCTGGCCTAGCCTGCCGTTGCTCTTTGCCCTGAGCCCCGAGGATGGGGAAGTCAGACTTGGCAGCCCCACAGAACTGCAAGGAGTGGAGGGGAAGTAATTCCCTAGAGGAACCAGCCGTCTGTATGACACAGTGAACGTCTGTGTGGACAGAGGCTTGTGGCTTACGCAGCACTTGTCTCATCTGATCCCCACTGTGGCCCTCGAGGTAGGGTAGCACCAACTGTGCTCATTTGACAAGTAGGAACTGGAGGAAGTTGTTTCCTGGGCTTGTGCGGTCAGAACACCTATCCCTATCTCCCCAAGCCTCCAGGATGCTATCCTTCTCTTGTCTCTGAGGACAGTTCATGCTGGTGGCAAGTAAGATTTGGACTACCAGGCACCAGGCTGATTTTTTCTTTTCCTTTTTCGTTGTTTTTTTTTTTTTTTGTTTTTTTTTTTTTTTTTTTTTTTTTTTTTTTTTTTTTTGAGACAGATTCTCACTTTGTCACCCAGGCTGGAGTGCAGTGGCGTGATCACAGCTCATTGCAGCCTCAACTGCCTGGGCTCAAGCAATCCTCCCACCTCAGCCTCCTGAATAGCTGGGACCACAGGTGTGTGCCACCATGCCTGGCTAATTTTTGCATTTTTTGTAGAGATGGCAGGCTTGTCTCGAACTCCTCAGCTCAAGTGATATGTCTGCCTCAGCCTCCCAAAGTGCTGGGATTACAGATATAAGCCACTGTACTTGGCCAGTTTTTTCTTAAAAATTTTAAATTATGTAATTTGATATATACTAAAGAATATATGTAATGTATATGTAAATTATAAAGCTTAGATAAACCCATGAGCTCATCACTCAATTTGAGAAATAGAACATAACCAATATGACTCCTCCCTAATCCCTGCCTCCTGACCCATGGTCATCTCCACTCTGAGAGGCACCCCCTTCTCATTTTTAAAATGCAGTTCGCCACATGTGCCTGTATCGCTAAATAATGCCTCCTTGAGTTTTCAGCTGTGTAAAAATAGTGTCATACTATGTATATTGTTTCTGAGCTGTATCCCTGATGGTGGTCGTATCTTGCAGTTTGATCATTGTCATCTAATGACCATCCTGTGACTGTCCACACTTTATCCTTTCTCTTGCCAAGGCACATTGGGGTTGTTTACAATTTTGCTTTACAACTAATGTTGGCATGAGCATTCTCTTGCATATACCAGGATACTTTTTTTTGAAAGTTTTTATTTTAATTTTTGTGGGTACACAGTAGGTGTATATATTTATGGGGTACATGAGACACTTTGATACAGGCCTGTGATGCGTAATCATCACATCCTGGTAAATGGATATCCATCCTCTCAAGCATTTATTCTTTGTTTTGTTAAGTTATCCAATTATACTCTTTTAGTTATTTTTAAATGTACAATTAAATTGTAATTGATTGTAGTCACCCTGGTGTGCTATGAAATACTAAGGCTTACTTATTTTTGCTAACTACTTTTTGTACCTGTTAAACATCCCCACTATCCTGCCCCCATACTCCCACCCCAACTATCCCTCTCAGCTGCTGGTAACCATCCTTCTATCTCCAGGAGTTCAATTACTTTAATTTTTACCTCCCACAAATAAATGAGACCATAATAAAGTTTATCTTTCTGTGCCTGGCTTATTTCACATAACTTAACAACCTTCATTTCCACCCATGTTGTTGCAAATGACAGGATCTCGTACTTTTTTATGGCTGAATAGTACTCCGTTGTGTATGTGTACCACATTTTCTTTATCCACTCATCTCTTGATGGACACTTAGGTTGTTTCCAAATTTTGGCTGTTGTGAACAGTGCTACAACAAACATGGGGGTGCAGCTATCTCTTCGAGATACTGGTTTCCTTTCTTTTGGATATATATGCAGCAGTAGGATTGCTGGGTCATATGGTAGCTCTGTTTTTAGGTTTTCTGAGGAACCTCAAAACTGTTCTCCATAGTGGTTGTACTAATTTACATTCCCACCAACAGTATACAAGGGTTCTCTTCTCTCCACATCCTCGCCAGCATTTGTTATTGCCTGTCTTTGGATAAAAGCTATTGTAACTGGGTTTTTGCTGTTTTGTATGTCTTCTTTTGAGAAATATCTATTCAGATCTTTTGCCTATTTTTTAATCGGATCATTAGATTTTTTTTCCTGTAGAGTTCAAGCTCCTTACATATCCTGGCTATTAATCCTTTGTCAGATGAGTAGTTTGCAAATTTCGTAATATTGCAGATCCAGTCTACGGACTGTCTCTTCACTTTGTTGATTGTTTCCTTTGCTGTACAGAAGCTTTTTAACTTGATGTGATCCCATTTATCCATTTTTGCTTTGGTTGCCTATGTTTATGGGATATTACTCAAGACATTTTTGCTCAGACCAATGTCCTGGAGAGTTTCCCCAACATTTTCTTGTAATAGGTTCATAGTT